CAAAAGGGGAGCGGGTGAAAACGTGGGGGCCGCGACGGCACGCTGAGGAAGAGCGAGGGGAGGCTCCTGAATGCTGCTGCTCCCCAGAGTCCGGTTCACACGTCAGTAAAGGAAGCTCATCCTTTTTTATTACATTAATGTAAAACTTCAAACTCGCGGTAGAGGAAACTAAAAAGCAATCCCAGGTAGTTGTACATTTATTGCACAGCTGTAGTTCCGAGAGATACGCTATCTTCAACCAAATCAAAACTTGCCAGTAATGGGTGTCCGTGTGCGACTCTCCCTCCCTGGGAGAAACGGAGCAATGGGACAGAGGCGCTTGGGCAGGAAGGTGTCACGCTGGACCCACGGAGACTGACTGACAGCACGGGGTGGGCAGCGAGGGAGAGCGAAACCCCTGCAGGCCCGCGTTGCCAAACCGAGCGCCGAACGCCATGGGAGGGGCGGCCAAACCCCTGCGCTCCGTGCGAGGGGCGCCAAGCGTTGAACTCGTAAAATCCACAACAGTCGTTAAAAAGAAAAGTAGGAATCGTCGTTTTCTTCGTCCGACGAGGTGGCGGCTTCAACCACGAAGAGCTGCCCCGCCACAGCGCCCTGCTGCGCTCCTGCAACGAGAACACGGGGGTTATTGGTGTGCGGGAGAGCGCGTCTGCGCGCCCCCGCTGCGCAAGCCGTTTCCAAAGGTCCGAAAAGCAAAGGTGCTCATGAGAACCAGGCTGCGGAGAAATCACTCGGCGCCGGCCTGCGGCCACCCCCGGAGCCAGTGGTGAAGGGTGAAGAAGCGAAGAGCCTGAAAGGAAGGAGGAGAAGCGAAGAGAACTTACGGTTATTGAAGCCGAACTTGGTTCTGCGTGAGGTGGGCGTCCCGAGCATGCCTCCAGCCTGGGAGAAAGGACACAAGGGCTCTGCTCAGCCCGCTGCTGCTGCGGCACCTCGGACCAGCCGGGGGGAGCTGGCACAGAGCAGGCTCGCACGGGGAGGGAGCTGCCCCAGCGCCACGCTACCTTGTCACTAACTAAATTGTGCGGCTACCCCCAGTGCCCTCACTGCTCCGGGGATCTCGGCTTTTCATGGAAAAGCCGAAAGAGTGACAAACCCCAGGATCCTGCAGGAAGGCAGACAAATTCAAGGACTGTCCGACACGAGCGAGGGGCACCCTTTCCTTTCCCGCTGATCAGAAGAACACAGCAGGAACTCTGTCTGCCTGGAGACCACGGAACTCAAAAGCAGTGGCAAATCCTGAAAACAACGTCTTTCATCCTGACAATAAATAGCTCTTTTCTAACAAAAAGAACTTTTCTCCAAGAGAAGCCGATACAAACCCCAGAAGCAGGGGAGCGTTCCCGTTTTCTGCCTCGAACACACCCCCTAGTCTGCGATCCCGGGGTTCCTCCGCCCGCTGCTCAGCAAAGCTTTGCCCCGTTATGGCGGGGGTAGGCCACGTTCAAGGAACCCAGCATTACCGACGACTTCTTGACGTTGTCCCAGGTGCCTCTGCCGCCCTGCCTGCGCTTCTGCATTCTGAACACGTGCCGGTCGTAATCAGTCCTGCAGAGGCAATGGAGCACGTCAGTGTCACCCGTGTGCCGCCCGCGGGACCTGCTGGGCGCGGGGGAAGGCGTTACGCCGTCCAGCGCCCCTTCAGAAGGAAAATCGGCATGGCCATCAAAACCAGTCGTTGGGCAAGTAAATGTGACAGCAGCCCTGGGAGCACGACACCAGCGGATCACGTGCTAGAACTCTTCACGCAAGCGTCAGCCGAAGGTTCCTCCTCCTTCCGGCCGAAGTCCCTCTCTCCCGTGAGACAAAACGCCCCTTACGCTGTGCCAGGGTGGAGCCAATCCCGGTTTCGGGAAAGCCTGAGGCAATTGGGTTAATGGGTTAAGGTCGCAGTGTACAGGGAAACCTCTGCTGAGGCCGAAGCCCAAGTCAAGACCTTCTCTGAGAGTAAAAGGACCCACGACAGGCACTGTCCTCGCTGCCCACGCCCGAGCAGCTCCAGCGGCACGTGCTGTCAAAGGGAAGAGCTTCCTCTCAACAGAGCCCTCGAGGGCTGCGGGGTTCCCCGTGCACGCCCGAAGCCTGGAAGTGACCTGGTGTCCAGGTACCCAGAGGGAACATTCTCAGAAGATAAAAAGCACCGTTGGGGAAACGAGAAAGGGGAAGGTTAGCGGGGGGACAGCAGTACGAGATCCTACCTGTTGATGGGCACCAGCATACCGGGGCTGATATGCTCACACTGAGGGGTTTTCGCCGTGACTGAGGAAGGTGTGAGCGACTCGTCCGTAAGCGCAAAGTCGTCGTCGTCGTCATCTTGGCTTCCCCGGAACCTTGGCAACTACAAAGCCACATCAGAGCAATCAGTGACCTGCCCTCTTTAACCCACGGCTGCTGAAAAGGCTTCTCGCGGCTCTGACTGAGGGTGGCCACGGGACGCAGCCTCTTCGCGAGGCTGTGAACTTTGGTGGTTCCCTCTGCCCCAAGCGGGGGAGTCCCAGACTCTCCCTGCTCCCCTCAATGGGCAGCTGCTCCATCCCCTGCCTCACCTCAGCTGCATTTCTGTCTCCACTACGTCCCTCTGGAGCCGCAGAGGCCAGCGATGTGCGCGGCACGCAGGTACGGAGGGACCCGACACAGCAGCCAAATGGCGCCTCAGTCTTGCTCTTAACACTCCTCCCCTGGACACCCACCATTCTGCTGGTCTGTTTTGGCTGCTACTACACATTCAAAAAATAAATTCTGGTTCAAAGTACAAGCTCAAAGGTGACCATTACTGCTCAGGAGGAGGATTTCGGGATTACTCAAGCAAACTTTTGGTCCTCCCACTTTGAAGGGAGAGGAGAGCTGGGAAGGTTCCGAGAGGAGCGACAAAGGTGACCAAAAGCACAGCAGGGCCTGGGGGGGGGACAGTTGTTGGCTGTCCCGTCCCCAAGAGAAGGCTGTGTGAAGAGTCTTGGTGGGTTCAAGGAGGGGCTGGGCTGGTTCATGGAAGGGGAGGGAATCCGCACCTGGCTCCTAAACACACCGAGTCTCTCTCTGGAGGCGCACCTCTCGCCACACGCGACAGATGGAGGGTGCCTTCTCTCTCACGCATGAGCTGGGCAAAAGGAATTTGGGGGGGAAAAAAAAAAAAAGGGAATCCTTTTGAACCACTGGCTGAAGTCATCTTCTGCCAAAAGAGGCATTTCCTGGAGACCCCCACTGCGAAACCAGGGTGTCTCGGCTGCGGATGCACGGGTTCTTTCACAGCCCATCCGCCAGCACCGGCCAGGGGGATCTCCCCGCGGCACACCGCAGCCTACCGCCAGCAACGGCGTTACTGCTGCCGAGGTCCTGACCTTCCGACCAGCCACGGCGCTGCGCTGCTCCGGGGCGCGTGCCAGAGGGGGAGACGCACCGGTGCCCCAAAGAGCACCCACAGAAGAACAATGTGCCGAGACGTACGGGTGGGGTTTGGGGTCCTGGCTGGAACCAAGGCGCTCGTTTTAAGAGGCAGAGCTAGCTTGGTCAGGTAACGGCAAAAAGATGCACCATGAAGTAGTTTTTCAGGGGAAAAAAACCCCAACGAATCATTCTGTTGGTAAAGGAGTGGCTTTCTCTTTACAAGTGACAAGCCTTTACCACCCAGGGCGTGTAGCCGCGCTTCACCGCGGTGAGCAGAGGTTTATCGCAGGGACCCGGTAACGCCCCCAGCTGGGGGCTGTGCTTGGGGCTGCCCGTGGAGCGGGAGGGGAGGGCGCTCCTCCCGCTTTGGCTGCCGAAAAGGAGCCTACCCAAGAACCGGGGAAGCTCCTCAGCCAGAACAGGCAACAACCAGGAGAGAGTAAGTGAGCGACGGGCAAGGGCCAGGGCGAGAGGGCAGGAGTTCTCCCAAAGAGACACCCCCTGCCAGCAGCGGGAGGCGAGGGGTTTTAAACTTGCGATGGGCCGAGAGGAAAGAAGGAAAATCCTTTTAAATATCAGGACGACTTTAGAGGGCCCCTGGTTCCAGAGCAGGAGGATCCATGGGTTGGCCCCAGGGCAGCAGTGTCGCTGCACGACCAACGCCCCGCAGCCTCCCGCGTTCCCCCCGCGCCGGGGCAGGCAGGACACCCCGGCCCAGCCGGGGTTTATGCCCCCGCTCAGCGGCAGCGCTGGGCTGCAGCAGCCTCGTTCTCACTGCGGCCACCCCCGTACTGCAGTAACGGATCAAGGGAATAAGCCTCTTCCCCCAAAGCCCGAGGTTTTATCAGTGGCTCCGAAGCAGCAGCCTCGTAACGCGCCCTCGAACCACCAGGCAGGACAGCACAGGCACACGCACGCTGCTTTCCCAGATTTACCTTCACTACTCTGTTCTGAAAAGGCGTCGCAGTAAAAATATCATCGTGGTTGTCCTTCGGCAAACGCTCCAGGAAATCTCTCATCTGCTGCTTTCTTTTGAAGGTTCCCACTTTGGCAGTTATCGTAACCGGCTCTTTCTTATCTACGTGAATCAAAACATTAATCGGTCTAAGACATCAGTGACGTAGCAGGGTTTGAAACCGGCTAACCACGGGCAACGCTTGGTGAGAGAGAGTCCAGTCTCTCCCTTTGTGGAAATGGCTTTTAGCTGCTTGGTGATCCTGCGAGTTCTCACCCAATTTCTGCTTTCAAAAAAGACTTTCTCTACTCATTGTACTCAGACGCTTGCTCTAGAGCCTCGCGCAGCCATTCCAAGTGCCACACCCAGCTGCTTGATTACGGTTTTAACAAATTATCCACACACCCGCGTTTCAGAGGGAGAAGACACCAAGATCTATCAGGCACATCGAGGCATAAAGTGCTCAGGTAAGGGCTCTGCTGCAGAGACCAGCTGAGCACCCCCGACACGGGGCGTGCGGAAGGCTCAGCGGAGGCTTCGGCACATACAGTTGTGCCCTTCGCACACCTTAACGCAACCACCGCACCTAAAGGATGGGCCGTTAAACCTTCTTGATGGAGAGAGAGGACTTTGTCACCTCGCTGGTGCGTGTGTTCCTACCCTCTGCTTTCCGTTACAGGGCACTCTCTGAGCAAGTTTAGAAGAACATCTCCCAGCATCCTCATCTTCAGACAAAAACTAAACCAGCTGCTTACGCAGCCAGTGAAGCAAAGAAGAAAATGAATCTGCAGTTCACAGATTTTCAGAAGAACAAAGTATTTCTGTGTCTATGTGAAGGTTCATCGCCAACAGGATGCGCTCGCCTTCCGAGAGAAAGCCAGTCAAAGCTCCTGACCGCCCAGAAAGACCTTTGTTTAGCACTGGGCAGGGCTGCACTTGGTCCTTGGCTTTGCTGCAGTCGTTCTAAAGCCCGAGAGGTCCCAAACTTGGCTTTCCTCAAAGCAAAAAAACCTTCAAACCACCGTGGCAGACTGACCCTTCACGAACACTCGCTAGCACAAAAAAAGCTTCCGTAATCACAGAAGTGCAGGGCCTTTTGATACCACAGGAACAGTCCAAACAAGATGGTTTCTCTCTATGCTCCAAAATGCCCGAGAACACCACCGCCACTGTCACAGCTCCTTACCAAACCGGTGCCCAGCAGCTTCTCGCACAAACGCGGTAACTGCAACAAACATTTCGAAGAAAACATTCAAGTGGAACCCAAGTGCCTCGTCCAGCCCTCCAGCCCTCAGCCTGCACATCACCGCAGCTCACTGACTTCGAGGGCAGGGAAGCCCACGAGATCAGCTGCTCTGTTCTACACCACGGAGGCTCCAGACTTGCAGACAAGAGTTCCTGCGTGAAGTCCTGGACCTGTGAGTAACCTGTGAGTAACCCCGGTCACCTCACTGGGCTGGAAAAAACGACCTTAACACTTTCGGTCGATGCAGACTGCCGCACGGCTTTAACCACCGAGACCATCGCCGCAGTCGTCTCTGCCCGCGGGCGTGGGACACAAAGCTCCACCTTCCGGGGGCGGAAGGGCGGCATCCCTGTCAGCCAGAGGAGCTGCTGCCGAGCGGCTTTCCTTCCCCGAGCTCCCCCTGCGTCCTGTCACCTCCTCTGTGCCAAACAGCAGGACTGAGCTTCTCCTGCCTCTCACTTTGGGGCGGACTCGCTCCCCGTAAACATGAATTACTGACCAGGACGGGAGAGAGAACAGCACCAGGCACCAGAGAACGCAACGTCGCTGCCCTCGCTCCGCCTTGCCCTCGGTGCCTCCGAGCAGCCCACGTCCTCTGGGGACAGACAGCTCTACGAGTCGCTTGTTACCTACTAGGCCTGCGAGAGCCCCTTGAGATGTAAACAGCTCTTTTCCCCTGGGTGGCAAGGCTACTTTAAGTCTTCCCATCGTGCCAACAACTAGAGTGCTCTAAAAACATCCCTTCTCTTCTCGTTACTTCAGTCATTTATGATGTCCTCCCAGCTCCGCCACAAACCTCCACCCTGCGGAAGACAGCCTTCTTCACTGTTGGACCCTGACGGGCGCTCATCTCTGTACCTCTCATTACGTAACAAACAGGAATTTAAAATTATTTGAAGTCAACAGAATACCCAGAGCCAAGATGTCAGTACCTTTCTGTTCTGCCTTTCCTGAAGCGGTGGTGGCCTTCTTGGCGCGCGCTTTGGAACCTTTGGCCTGCTGCTCCTCGATGTACTTCTGATGGCATTCTTCAGCAGAGCGAGAGCCCACCGCCATGGCTACCTCCACCCAGAACCCATTCCTGTGCTTTGGGAATGAAGCCACGGCCCTGCCAAGAGAGCAACGCCACAACCTCCGTCAGGCCGAAGAATCCGCGCAGCACGGCCGCATGAAGCACCCGGAGACCTGCCGCCCGGCCTCGGAAGGACCCTGCGCGTCGGCTGCAGAGAACCTTGTCTCTGGCTTCTCGTCCAGACGCTTCAAACGGGCAAATTTACCTGAACAGTTGAAGCTAACGGCTCTGCTGCAAGGTACAGTTCTTCCTATCTGCAGCAGCCCCCCACCCCCGAGTCGGGAGCTCACGCCTTTTCAGGTGTCTGATCTAAAACCAAACCAAACCTGGCCTTTTGATGACTTGCCGTGCGTATTAAGTACTGCCCAGCAGTTTAAGCGACTGGATGATGCATTAATTACACGTTCTTGCAATTAATCTCCGCTTTACATAACTTAGATACACGAACACGTCACGTCTCACATTTTATTCCATTAGGGGAGAGAACGTGCTGCCTCTGACTTACTGTCAGAATCATAAATACGAATACTTTGACCACATCATTTACCTGCTGCTCTTTACTCAGGAACGTTTATCGCTTTTAACGAGATCAAGTACGTGCTTTTGGAAACCAGCTAGAGGAGCAGAGTCACAAAGGTTTCCCTCCTGTGAGATCTGCGTTCCTCTCGCTTTACGCCGGTGACAGTGGCCCAGGCTGCTATAGGCAACTACGCTTATTTTAGACAATGCTCAGTTGTCTCCTTTATTTCACCGTTTTTTAATTTGTTATCAAACTTCCTTTTTTAAGAGGGAATGAAAACGTAATGGAAACCTTTAAAATAACGTGAAAGAGACTTAATCTGAAAAATCCAAATCCAGACCATCCAAACCCTTCAGTCTATTACACCTGCTGCTGTCTGAGGGAAACTTTGCCCTGTGAAGACAGGGCCACCACTTGCCTGTGGAGCATCTGCAATTCCTTTTCAGACCAAACATCAGTTGCCCTTGGAAACAGTTCCAGAGATTTCGGCACCTTTCCCCTCTCCCGTTCTCTTGATTTGTCTGCTGAAGACTTGGTAGTATTAGAAACTTTACGATGTGGGTTTTTATCGGATACTTTTGAATTCTTCTCTTTTATGTGAATTTCCTCTTCAGTGGTTTTGGGCTCAGTGTCAGAGTCGAGCAAATACCTCGGAGGGCTGATTCTGCTCCTTGTCCTTGTTGCTTTAGCAGGCAGAGGGGAAGTACTGGACTCGCTAGAGGGCGTTTTTCCTTCAAGTAGATCAGAACCATCATCGGATTTGGGCCCACTTTGCCTCAGCGGCACATTATGGGAGGCAGTGGAGCGTTTTACTGCCCTTTGTTGAGACGACACCTCGTTTGCATCCTCCTGTGAACTTTTACAGTTAGCGGAAGATTTAGAGTTTTGAGTCTCTTGTTTCAATAAAGGTTTATTTTTCCTTTTGATAGAGAGTGGGGTATCTTCACTGGATTCCTCTTCCTCATCTTTGCTTGATGATTCTTCTGTTAAACACTTGTCCCGAAGTTTAGCTGACCTTGAAGAGTACTTGTCAGCCTGCTGCCACACCGGCACTTCTCCATTCTCTGTTCCTCTCTTTTTCTTTGTCATTCTTGGGCTTCTGCTGTCACGGTTATTTTTGTTGAGCACTTCAGTACTTAAGCGATTCAGCCTAACCAACAGCCGTGCTTTAGTTTCTGTCCCATTGATCGCATGATAACCTTCGTCATCGGAAACGAAGTGCCTGGCCTCCTTCCTCCCAGCAGACTGGGTTTCTTGTTTGGAACCTCCTCCTTTGTTGGTGTTTTTCCCTGGAAGAGAGGATGTCAGTGTCATATCTCACACCGCAATGTCAGGCACGACTGTGCTGGCAGAGAAGTGAGGACGGACGCGGCCCGTCCCGCGCTCCTTCAGGTCCGTGAACCCCCGTCTGCCGCACAGGCTGCGGGGCCAGGAGGAGACAGGCGGCACGCCTTCTGCTTCATCCTGTTTCCAGGGCTCTATTATTTCCCAAATGTTAGTAAAAATAAAGGTTTTAAAGCTCTGTTCATACACTTCTTTTTCCCTGCACAGGCATTTTATTTATTTTAAGTCATCCAGCATAAAAAGCAAAGCCAGACCACCGCTCTGCTGGACTGGTGAACTCCGCTTCTCTTCAGGCTCTCCCCAGTCCCAAGGAACAGCTGTGCAGAGAGATCCAAATGTAAAAAAAAAAAAAGTCACCCTTTCATTTTGATTTCCGAAAGGAAATCTGCGTGTTCCCCTCGGGCAGATACAGAACTGATTCACCAACACAGTTATGCCGGGAGCGGTAAAACCAGGCGTTCATGCTACTTGGAAAATTCTTCACCGAAGCAGTGATCGACCATTAAAAATTTAAATAATATCTCTTTGCATTACCAGGACGTGAGTGCACTGCTCTGGTACCAACCCGTAATCCCACTGATTCTAACGTTAAAAAAAAGGAAAAAAAAAAAATTGTTTTACCTTTACTGTGACTTTTTGTTGTTTCTTCTGTTGTCTTCGTTACTTCCTTTGTTTTCTTCTTAGAGATGGAACTGGTCTGTTTTGGGGGTTTTTCACTACTAAACATCTTCAAAATAAAACAATTTAATCTAAACTTCTGCCAGAGATTACACAGCAAGCCTACCCACGCCAGCTCTGAAAAAGCCAAACGTTTACAAGTTCAGCAGAGTTAAAAGACACCGACACGGACCGGTACCT